GCTTCTCCTTCTTTAACACCTCCAACACTTCTCGTAGATGCTTGCCATGCTCCTCCTGGCTTTTCGAGTAAATGAGAATGTCGTCGATGAACACTATCACAGATTTATCGAGGAATGGTTTACAAACCCTATTCATCAAATCCATGAATGCTGCGGGAGCATTGGTTAGTCCGAACGACATAACCAAGAACTCGTAGTGTCCATATCTTGTTCTGAATGCAGTCTTCTCAATATCCTGCTCTCTCACTTCAGCTGATGATATCCTGACCTAAGATCGATCTTTGAGAAGTAGCTCGAACCTTGCAGCTGATCGAATAGATCATCAATCCTCGGTAATGGATACTTGTTCTTCACCGTTGCCTTATTCAACTCTCGGTAGTCTATGCACATCCTCATGCTTCCGTCCTTCTTCTTCACGAATAACACCGGAGCTCCCCAGGGTGATGAACTAGGTCGAATGAAACCGCTATCCAACAGCTCCTGAAGTTGCATCATGAGCTCCTTCATCTCCGTCGGTGCTAATCGGTAAGGTGCCTTTGCTATCGGTGTTGTTCCTGGTAATAAGTCTATACGAAATTCTACTTGCCTATCAGGTGGTAATCCAGGAAGATCTTCGGGAAAGACTTCCGGATAATCGCACACAACCGGTATATTCTGCACCTCTTTCTTTTCTTTCTTAGCATCGATTACGAATGCCAAGTACGATGCACATCCCTTGGACAAACATTTCCTAGCTTTCATCAAGGATATGATTCCAGAACTCACTCTGCGTTTGTCCCCGTACACCATAAATGATTCCTTTCCGGGTGGGTTTATCCTAACTATCTTCTTTCGGCATAATATCTCGGCATCGTTGGCGCTAAGCCAATCCATACCCAAAACGATGTCGAAACCGTTTAACTCTATGGGTAATAGTTCCTCCTGGAATTCGTTTCCGTTTAGGTCAATGACGATGTTCCTAATACGATTACTAACAGGTACGAATTTGCCACTGGCAACTTCTACAATTAGGGCGTTATCAAGTTTTTCTACAGGTAATGCTAATTTCGCACTAAATTTATGCGACACAAAGGAGTAGTTGGCTCCGGAATCAAACAGTATATTTGCAGGCAAACCATTTACAAGAAAGGTACCTGAAGCGACGTCTGCTGCCTCCTTTGCAGCCTCGAGCGTCATCTGGAAGGCTCTCGCCTTCGGCTTTGGTGGTATGTTGGGTCTTCCTGCCTCCTTCTTCTTCGGGCAGTCCTTCAAAATGTGCCCTTCTTCATTACACCCATAACAGGCCTTCTGGTTAAGAGTGCATTCGTTGGCATAGTGCCCAGGCTTTCCGCATTTGTAACAAGTGACCCCTCCATCACACTTCCCAGAGTGCTTCTTCTTGCACTTGTCACACCACTTTGCTTCTGATCCTCCTCCTCTCGAACTAGACTTCGAGAATCTACCTTTCTTACCGGACCTCGAGGATCCGTCAAATTTCCGTTTCTCTCCCACTTCCGCTCTCTCCAGACCCTTTTCTCGTATCTGGGTCTCCACATTCTTAGCAGCCCAGATGGCAGCTTTCAGAGTGGTAGTTTGCTTGACCATTGGACCGAAGTCCGCTGGTAATCCGAGGGCAAATTTGTTAACCTTGGAGAGTTCAGTTGGGACGAGGTGAGGAACAAGCTTCATTTTCTCAGTAAAGCTTGCAGCGTATTCAGTAACGCTCATTCTTCCCTTCTTCAGATTCTGGAATTCGTTGCTGATCTCCAGAAGATCCTGCTCAGAGCAGTATTGCATCTTCAACTGTACCAGAAAATCCTCCCACGACATTTTGCTTGCTTCACCTTTGGGCATTGAATCAGCTAATAGCTTCCACCAGCTTAGTACTCCAGATTTCAATAGAGGAACTGCAAGAGCAGTCTTCTGCCTATTGCTACACTCGCAACTCTCAAACATTGTCTCCATCTCAGAGATCCAGTTCATGACTTCCACCGGCGTCGGGCTTCCGGATAGACTCGGTGGCTTGGATGCCATGAAATCCTTGTATTTGCATCCACGTCCATCATTTCCTCCATCCTGGTGGTTTTGCCTAACTATCGGTGGGTTGGCTTGACCAATAGTCCCACTGTAGTTTCCTTCTTCAGTCTGCCCTTCGTTCAACTCGGGCTGTTCGAGCTGAATAGTCGCTTCCTCTCGATTTTGCTGGAGCAAACGCCTGGTTTCCTCCATTTGACGATCCAACATTGCCTGGATCATCGCTTGCACTCCGGCCATCGTTATTGGTCCGGCAGCGGCTTCCACAACTGGTATTTGCTCGATCACGGGGGGTTGGTGTCCGTTCCCATTTGCGTTTACGTTTCCGCTACGGGTCCTTACCATCTTGATCTATATACCGAATAAGGTGGATTTAGATCTTTATTTAGGAGAGACGTTTTAAATCGTCCTTATCACTCCGAAACGTTTACATGCTAGTTCTAATATCGTAGTCGTACGTTTAGAACTAAACCATAGATCCCGAACAAAATAACAGCATATCATGCATAAAACATTTAGCACATAAAAGCATTTTAGGCACAATTCCTAAAATAAGCTAGTGCTCACACCTCACAATCATCGCTTAGCATTCTAAGTTTAAGTCTAGAAATCCTACAAATTCCTAGTTCGCTTAAACTAATGCTCTGATACCAACTGTGACATCCCCAAAATCACGGCCAGAAAAGACCGGTTTTGTTTATACTTTATTTCAAAATCAGAGTTATCTTTTAATAAAAGGGTTGCGGAATTTGTCCCAAAACAATAATATGATAAAGATTTATCAAAAGCATTTCCATAGAAATGTATTTCATTAAAAGACTCGGGATGTCATGTTCGTACAGATCAAAAGTATAAACAGTACAATATAAGCCTTACTACATTATTTCATATCTACAGGCCTATATCCGTAATCCCTCGTCCAAAACATCACACCTATGCTCATGCGCCACTACCTGTAATACATAAAACTGAGTGGGTCAGGCTTGGGAGCCTGGTGAGCACATAGGGTTTTCAACCCACAATAAATAAGTTTATTAATTTCATCAATCAACAATAACCCGATTACCCGTTCCCGTTATCCTCACTTTACGTCCCTAAACACCTATCATAAGGGACCTAGCCTAAGGATCATCATCGGGACGGACACTACTGCTAAGGGGATTCCTCAGCAATAAATGTCCTAATAGGCAACCATGTGGGGGATGGAGTACACCGGTGAACACATCGTTCACAACACCTACAGGTTGCGAGCCTGCTAGTGTTCCACTGGACTGTCTAGAAGAGTCCGTGGTCGTCATCTATACTCCGCTAGATGACTGGATCAACAACAACAACATCGAGGCCTCTCATCATTTTATCACACATCACCTATTACATCTACCCATGTTTTACCCCAACATTTTCGTAGATATAAAATACATATACAGTTTAAATCATTGAAAACATGTATAACAACGTTCATCTAGCATAGATAGCAAGTATTCAGATAATATGCACACATAGCACGTAATTTATATAAAATACTTCATATCTATGTGTAAGTTGAAGGTAACTATGCACTCACCGGAAAAGGTGGTGATTCCGAACTCAGACAGCGCTTCGCTTCTTAAAAAGAATTTTTCTTCGACGAAACCTAGTATTATTACCACTAGAGTTTAGTTTATTATTCGTCGAGACTAATTAATAGTCTAGCTATTATTATTATTATTATATAAGCGTCAAAAAAATACTTATATAACCCATAATAATAGCCCAAGTATTTATTATAAGTTCCTAATAACGTTACTATAATTAAATAAAAGTTATATTAAAAATAGCGTAGGCGTAGCTCACTTACAGCGGGTTTTATAGAAAACCGGGCTTTGCTTGGAGCAGCGTTCCCGAGCCGAAAAGCTCTTCTTCTCGGAGCCTTCGAGCACTCCGGGGCTTCCGCCTCGTGCTAGGGAGGTTCCCTAGGCTTTTCGGGGGATTTCGGGGCTAGAGAGAGGTTCTAGAGAGAGAGAGAGAGTAAAGAGAAGAAAGAATGGGAAAGGTGTGAAGAAAATGAGGGTGGGAGAGGTGGTATTTATAGGGTGAAATGTGGCTGAACTTGGTGCCACATGTCACCATCTGGTGGCAAGCCTTGGGGAGAAAGCAATGGCCAAGATTGTGCCACATCACCCATTTTCGCACAGCACACTTCCGACTTCTAAAATCCGTAACTTTCACATACGACCTCCGTTTTTGACGTTCTTTATATCCACGCGTAGGTAATAATAAGATCTACAACTTTCATTTTGACACCGTCAGCTAATTCTCGACCGATCTTAAATTTAACAGTACAAGGAGATTATACTGTTAAACGTCTGCGTAAAATTAATAACTTCTACATACGGACTCTGTTTTTGTCTGTCTTTTTACCGTTGATTTCCTATTAATGAGATCTTCAACTCTCATTTATGTTGCGTAAGCCAAAAACCGCTCGAACTAAAATTCGAGTTTCAGGCCGTGCACTGCTAAGCCGAATCTTAGAAAAATCATAACTTCTTCATACGAAGTCAGATTTGGGCGTTCTTTTTATCGATGTTCTTAGTTTAACATATTCTACGACTTTTGTTTAGATTGCTAAGGCTAAAAAGTCTTCTATCGTAAATTCACTATTTACGTTCCCGGTGTCGTGCCGGTTTTGTCGTAAAACTTCGGCGGGCCATAACTTCTTCTTTATAGCTCGGATTTCGGCATTCTTTATATGCACGGAAACCTTGAGACATATTCTACAACTTTATGTAGAGATATCGGGATTATCTCACACTTTAATTTTGACGCTCATTTTTATTCTTTATTAATTATACATTTATAATTAAATAATAAACACATAAACACACATAATTCACATAATACTCAAATATTTCATATTTATTACTTCAAAAAGAGTTACAATAGTTGACCTAGACTATTACATTGACAAAAATGCTTAGCCCTGAAAACCCGGGCGTTACAACCATCTCTTACACCTTTAAAGCATACATACAACCGTTCGAAAATTAGACTTCCATCAAGGGTATGGTCAACATGCATACTCACAGTTGATCCTGGATTAGCTCTTTTGATTTCTATGCCATAGTCCCACAACCTACTATAATGCTCTTTTAGAGTGCCTTCTATCTCAGACAATGCAAACTTTTTTGGATTTCTACATTGTCCAATGCTAACTATGATGTTGTATGTGCTTGAGATTTGAGCTTTCATCTTCCTCAAACTAAGCCTGGGGTTTTCTAGAAGTACATTGAAATATTGTTTCCCTATCCACTTGTAATTCACTAAGCCTATTTTAAAAACTCTACCACAATTGTGACTTGATTTAAGTGACTTAATCTGAAAAGTCCTTTCCTCTTGCATCCAAGAAGCCCACAACCGAAAAGGACATGAAGGTTCTTTGTCTTTGCAACACTTCACTAGAAGTCTGTTTTTATCATTCTTTTCATACCACAAATCATAACCATGCTTAACATCATAGTTGGTAAGACATTGTTTAAGTTCAGTAGGATTGGTGAATTTCATACCTAACACAGGAGCCATTTCATCCCATTGTTGCTCAGAATTGTGCACAGGGTATACATGTGGTAGTTGCTCAACATTAGAATCTTCTTCCTCTTCAACATTTGGACAAAGTTTGTTCAAAAACCTGTCTTTATTCTGAATAGTTGTTGTTGCCCTTTTCATTGAAAAATCCTCATCATCCACCTCGTGTTCCCAGCAGTCTTTATCTATTAACATTGAATCAACATCTTCATCTGCTTTGGAGTTGGTATCATCTTCAATTCCAGGCTCTTCCATTTCAATCCAGTCGAACAGGGGTTCATGCATATGGTCCACATACAGATTTACTTTCTTTTTCTCATGGAGACACTCATGAAATTCGTGGTAATCACATTCGTTATGCAATGCGGCCAATCCTTGACACAATGTTTGCCCATCTGGACAATAGTATACGTCTTTGCATATTCTTCTAGTAATCACGTTGAGGTGCGCAATGAATTCAGCATACCCCATCTCCCTGAAATCGGCGTACATTATCTCCTTTTTATCTGGATCAAAATAGATTAGTGGTTTCTTGATGAACATCCCATTGTACCAGACTTCAACGACCGGTGTATCAGTTTCAGCCATTTGATTGTGGATTGATCGAAGTAAGAACAATGGGTGGGGACGATTGAGTGAGAGTGAAGAGAAAGTGATTGGGATTCGTCTTGCCCTAATTTAAGGAGACCTAATATACATTAAATGCCACCTAATTATCCACGTAATGGCCTAATAACCACGTAACACCCATATTCACTTTGTAACCGGTTAAACAAGAAGCAAACGGTAAAAAGGATTAAATGTAAACGGTAATTACGACCATAATGGTCTAATACGCACAAAAAAAACCTAAGTGACCTAATGCGGACAAACAAGAAACCTAATTACCCTCCCAAGTCATTATCCCTAAAATAAAAGGACAATATGTCAAAAAGGTAATAAATATCATATAAATTTGTCAAATGACCAAAATATCGGTTTGAAAATACCGACCCAATAAAAATTGGTTTTCAAAAAATGACTAAGGTTGCGTTTAGTTACGGAAAAACACTTTTTATTTTCCGTTTTTGGTTTTCCCTTTTCGATTTTCGTTTTTCGTTTTCATTTTTCATTGAAAAATTTAGAAAACGTGTTTAGTTAAACTTATTCATTTTTCATTTTCAGTTTTAGAAAATTAGAAAACGTGTTTAGATACGTATTTTTCTATCGGTTTTCATTTTTTGAAAACGATAGCGGTGGTAGGGTATGGGTGGAGGCGGTGTCGGTAGCGGGTCGGCGGCGGTGGTGGTGATGACATGCGATGGTGGTGGCGGCGGTAATTGTGTCAGTGGTGGTGATGTCATCGGCAGCGATGGTGGTATGGGTTAGTGGTGGTGGTGGTGGTAATGGTAGGTCGGTGATTGCCGTGGTGGTGTTGGGTGAGTGGGGGTGCGAGTGTGTGTTTGTGGGGGTAGGTGTAGGTTTGTGTGTGTGTGGGTGTGTGTGTCTATGAGGGTAGGGGTGGGTTGGTGTGGGTTTGTGTGTGTGTGTATGGGTGGGTATGTATGTGTGTGTGTGTGGGTTGGTGTGTGTGCGGGTGGGTGTGTGTAGGGGTGGGTATGTATGTGTGTGTGTGTGTTTATGGGTGGGTGGGTGTGTTGGTATGCATGTGTGTATGTGTGTTTGTGGGTGTGTGTGTGTGTGGGTGAGTATGTATGTGTGTGTGGATTGGTGTGTGTGTGGGTGGGTATGTATGTGTGTGTGTGTGTGTATTTGTGGGTGGGTGTGTAGGTGTGGGTGGATATGTATGTGTGTGTGTGGGTTGGTGTGTGTAAGAGTTGGTATGTATGTGTGTGTGTTTGTGGGTTGGGGTGTGTGTGGGGGTGGGTATGTATATGTGTGTGTGGGTGGGGGGTGTTAAAGTGGGGGTAGGTAGAGGTTGATGAGGTGGAGTGGGTGTATGTTTATAGAAAAATTTTGGAATTAGAAAAATATGGAAAACAATGATTATCAGTTTTCCAAAAATTTCCATCTTCTTTGTAATTTTAGAAAACGGAAAATTTTCATTTTCCGTGAAAAATTTAGAAAAATAGACGAACTAAACGTGTTTTCAAAATTCTCATTTTTTCTTGGAAAATTTTTCCGGAAAACGGATCATTTTTCCGCAACTAAACGCACCCTAAGGTTTCCACATAACCGTCTCTGCAGAACGAGTTTATGCCCTGTGGAAGCCAAATTGCTCTGAGGAAGTGGACACATGTGCAAAAAAAGACAAAATTATGACGTCTGACACTACGGATCTGCAGAGCAGGTCTCTGCGAAATGTATACGGACTCTGCGGAAATGGTTTTCACTCTGTGGAACTGAACACGTATGCAAAAACATATTTTCTGAATTAAAAACAAAACACATTTCTAGATAGGTCATGTAGATCCTCAGAGCAGCCCTTTGCGGATTTGTTCTTCAAGTAGCATGCCTCTGAGGAACTGATCTTCACAGAACCAAAAATTCCCACGATTTTGTTAAATGTTTTGTTGTTAATTTAACGAGGTTTCTCATATTAAGAGCATATCATTGATTTAATATACAAATTTTAACTAAAAACCTAGGTTTATAAGAGTTTAGAAGCTAGGTAAAAGCTTATAACAATAAGTTAATATATCTTAGTTATCATCGTACAATGAATAAGAAGGTCAAAGGGTAACAAATTGTGATGTTAAGCATTTTTGTATGGTAAAACCAATTCTTTTGAAGACTACATCCATAGATGTAGGAGATATAACATTGTTATGCATGATCCATTCTACTCTACTAAGAAGCTCTACCGCAAGGAAACCAAACGTATCAAATGAAAACATTATGAACACGTGTTGATTTTCCATGCACGGTTTTTCATGTTTGGTGACCTTGCATGTAGCAGCTTTTAATGCAGTCGACTATGATAAGGATTCAAGGATTATCTTATGGGTTGCTTTGTGGATAAGCAACTAGATAAGGATAATGACTGAAACCCTATCTCTACACCTATATAAAGACCCCAAGGCTTATGAATTCGTGATCCCTTCCCAAAAAGTCCTAAGGACGAATTCTAACCTCTCTCCTCTCTCTTTATACCTTCTCCATTTGCTCTTGGTGTTTGTAAGCCATTAGAGGAGTGACACTTGTGACTCTAAGCATTCCAAAGTTGATTCAAGGAGATTTAGGATTGTTATTGCTATATAACAATCAAGGTATGTTCTTAAACCCATTCATATGTTAATATCGATTTCATATACTAGAATTAGGGTTTATAGTCTTTGATTCAAAGCATGTACAATAGTGAAACCTAAATCTAATCATTAGGGTTTGTATGAGCACATAGGATGTCTTATGACCAAAACCCATCAGCGAGGGGATACCCTTGTAAGGTCCACACATGTGTGTTTCCCTCTAACCCATCCAAAAATCAAAACGTCAGCCGGTCTAAGGGTTGACCTTCCTTCTGTTGGGTCATTGAGGAAATTCACAGGAGCCTCTTTCTTGGAAGAAACCCTGACACGCTTAAATATGTCGACCAAAACATCTCTTACCATATCATGCCTGTATTTAAACCCCGTGAGTTCTTTGCAATGAACTGGATGCTCTCTAAAAGAGTCCAAACATGCCTTGCGGCACATCGGACATATCTCGTCGGTTGAGAATATTGGAATCACGAGTCAATATTTGAGGATGATACGATAATCCACAGGAGACATATATTGGCCAAACCTATATATAGGGATAACTAGAAGAAAATCTTGAGCATGTGGTGCTCGTAAACACTAGAAAATTGCTTTCTGTTGCATCGTCATATTGAAATGCACTTCCATATCTTGGACAATTTTACTAAAAATGGCACTCTCTAATGTATTTTGGGATTTAGGGGGCGATGTCTTTAGTAGTAAAACTGAATCCATACCATAAATGTCGCTATCCTGTAAGATGAGGTCTTGCAATACCCAAGATTGGGCCATTGAGGCAACGAAAACATATGAGGTAGCCTCTACTGCCGAGTAGAAACCCACACCACCAAACCGAATGGGTAGGGAGGCAAGTCGCCACTGTATGTCGCCAAAGAAAGGGCCACCACAAGCCACAATGTCCCCAATTGCCTTGCGCAACCCATTATTGAAGAACAACGTCGCCTCCTCCATGTGAACGAATTGGCATGTCCTCAACCTAAAGAAAATTTTAGCAATATCCATACAAGAACGAAGTAGAATGAGCTCACTCTGCGGGTCAAACAATTATGGAAGAAGGTACATCAAATATACAACGTTTTCAACTCTCTTTATGGCTAAGCTGCAAATGAAACTAGCATATCTACTAACAGCTCCCCCAAGAAGTTTCACTCCCAATGGCGACCTCCCGATGCTAACCAGGAATAACCCCTCACGCAGCTTCCTACCATCGCACGAGGGGCAAAAGAGCTCAGTTTTCTTCATATTCAACTAAAGGCCTAATTTTGCACCTATAACCTTAATGATGTCTAACGCTTTGGTCACCTCCTCAGAATCTCCAATAAGTGTGCCATCATCAAGGTACCATGCATGAAGAAGAAGCCTGTAATTGTCTCTAATATAATTCTAATCAACAAGTCATACTTTATAAATATAATTAGACAAATAACCACGCGTTGAGTAGAATACAACAATATATTTGAAATCATTACAAATATATGTTTTTTAAATCTATCCATGATGTTGTTGTTAGATCTTATATAATAAATCTTATAATAAGTTGGTTTAAATATTGTTTGTTTTGAATTATATGATAAGGGAAATCTGCGAAAAAGTCCCAATATTTAAGGTCAGTTTACGATTTAGTTCCAAATTAAATTTTGTTTACAAAAAAGGATAGATTACCGGCTAAAACTTCGGATTAACCCTTCGTGGCCGGTTTCACAGATTTAGCCGGTATCTCATCTTTTTTCGTTAATTAATCAAAAATTTAGGGCATTTTCATTAATTAATCAAAATATTAGGGCTTTTTCATTATTTATTACCAATAAACCAAAATATTTGGACTTTTCTGAAGATTACCTTTAAACTAATATATATTATATGATCTAATTTAATATGTACTATTCCATGTCTTTTTTCTTATGCTCTTCTAGGCTCACTGTGTGTTTTTATCGGTGTCGTCAAACCCAACAACAAAAATCTTACTCACAAGCCTCGTTAACTCCATCGATTGTCCAAAATTATCCATTCACAACTCTATGATCATCTTTCAATCTCCAAATAAAGAACGGAGAAAATCCTTATTGATTACGTGGATGCCCGTATTACCTAAACATGACTTAAACTGTGGTTCCAACACTTGGATGTTCCTATTACCTAACCATGACTTGAATCCTATTTCGAACCCATACACTATTCGCATTGTCCATAGTGTTGTTCACAACAAAATACGAATCCCACATGGTTTAACCACTGATACCTTGGCTCAAGTCTTACATGACCCTTGTTTCCTTACAATAGGGCTTGAAAACCATGAAGAATGAACCATTAATCTTAAAAAACTCAACATATGTAAAAAAATCAACTCGATATTATGTATTGAAAACCATGAAGAATGTTAACTCTAAT